GATTTGTAGACATAATGAGTATTTTGAACTGGATTCGAAAGTGAACCGGTAACCAGTGCAGTGAGGCCAAAACTGGTATAATGTGCTCTCTTTTGCATGTACTGGTTAAAAATGGGGCTGCTGCATTCTGGACAAGTTGTAGTCGTGCAATGGAGGTCTGACTGATACCAAACAGGAGTGAATTGCAGTAATCAAGCCTAGATGTAATGAATGCATGTATTACTGTCTCCAGGTTCTTTTTGGACAATATGTGCTTCAGTTTAGACAGCTGCCTCAGTTGGAAGAAGCATGATTTAACAATCATGTTTACATGACTGTTAAGCTTCAGGGAAGGGTCCATTATCACGCCCAGATTAGTGACTCTTTGTTTTTCTGACAGGGTTAGAGCGGAAAGGTCGATGCAGTTGTTTGTGATCGTGTCGTTGGGAGGGAACAACATGACTTCAGACTTCTTTTCATTGAAACTTAAGAAATTTAAAGCCATCCAGTCCCTGATGTCAGCCAGGCAGTTGAGCAGCGGTTGAATAGAGCATGTAGCTTGTGTCTTAGGGGGAAGTAAATTTGACAGTCATCGGCATAGAAGTGGAAGGGCATGTTGTGTTTACGGAAAATAGCACCAAGCGGCAGCAGGTATTAAGAGAATAGGAGGGGACCCAGGATTGACCCCTGCGGAACCCCCCATTTAAGCTCTGCCTCTGCGGAACTAAAATCCTTGATGGAGACACAAAAGTATCTGTCAGTGAGGTAAGATCTGAACCACTTGAGGGCTGATCCTGTGACGCCCACCCACTGCTCCAACCTAGCAATGAGGATCTCATGGTCGATGGTGTCAAAGGCGGCTGTGAAGTCCAACAGGACAAGCAGTACAGAATCACCGGTATCTGTGAATCTGAAGATGTCGTTAAAGACCTTCAGCAGGGCAGTTTCAGTGCTGTGGAGAGGTTTAAAGCCGGATTGGAAAAGCTCTAAGATGGCGTGATCCTCCAGGAAGCACTTCAACTGGGACTCGACTATTTTCTCCAGTACTTTAGAAACAAATGGGAGTTTGGAGACAGGCCGGTAGTTGGAAACGACTGAGGGGTCAAGGTTTGTTTCTTTCAGGAGAGGCTGGACGGCAGCATGTTTAAAGGATTTTGGCACCACGCCAGTGGATAAACTACTGTTTACTATGGCAAGAATGGACGGACCTAGAGTTGGAAACACCTCCTTTAGTAGTCGAGGGGGGACCACATCAAAGGGGGAGCCAGAAGGTTTTAAGTTGCACATGACCTGCTCTAGAGAAGATAGTGATGGGTTCAAAATGGTCAAAAGGAGCTACAGATTGAGGTGGGATGGATGGGTCATGAGTTGGAGGGGAAATGAGAGCCCTGGTGGTCGCAATTTTTTCCAGAAAGAAATGTAAGAAGTTGTCGCACAGGTTGCTGGAGGGTGGGAGCTGCCGTCCATCAGCTTGCCAGAAGAGATGTGAGGATCCACAACTTCTCCTCCACCATAACCCTTAACACTGGCTCTCCTCAGGGATGTGTGTTGAACCCTCTCCTGTTTACTCTGCTCACATATGATTGTGCAGCTACCCATCCAGGCTGTCACATTGTAAAGTTTGCAGATAATACAGTGGTGGTGGGATGCATCACAAACAATGATGAGTCCAGCTACATGCAGGAGGTGGAACACCTGGAGAGCTGGTGCAAAGAGAATAACCTTCATATCAACGTGAAGAAGACAAAGGAGATGATTCTGGACTTCAGATTGAACAAACACACCTACACCCCCCTGAACACAAGAGGATCTGCGGTGGAAGTGGTCTCCAGCTACAAGTACTTGGGTGTACACATGTGTAGATGAACAGATGCTGGGATATATTCATCATTTAACGCGGGTTCCTCATTTTTCTGGACTGAATAAAACGTGCATTGAATTTAAGGAAATGCAAACGTGAGACGTCATTTAGATTTGACCCATCAAAATGAATGCGGTCATTTATTTACAGAATCAAATTTAACATCAAACATTTACATTAATTTGGCAAATTATGAAAATAACAATATAAGCAATCAATCAGGAAAAATCATACGGCCATGATTTTTCCGTTGTTGCACCACAGACATTTATAAACTGTACAACTATGATCTTTTACCCACACGG